GTTCTTGACCGCTGAATGCGAATCCAGCTTCACCGATACGGATCACCCGCTTGAGTGACATCTTGGTCATAGTCGGACCCGACGAGCGTTCGGTAGTGACATATCCTTGGCCATCTTGTGCTGTAGTCACCAGCTGTCGCGTCACCGAGCGTTCGTGGCTTGAGCAACTTGAAATGTGGCCACTTCAGCAATTACTTGGAAATCGCTACACCACATACGTATATCCTCGCGAAACAGATTTGAACGTCGCAAAGCGGGAGATCCCCTAAGTTCACTTTTACACCGTTCCCGAAAAGACTTTTGGTGGTACCGTCGGCGTTGTTTCTGGGCTTGCTGCATTATCATTAGACGTATCTTCTTCATCATCATCCGATGACTCAGCATCGGGTTGCGTACCAGCATTGGCTTCTTGTTGGACTGTGTTACTCGATACTGTGTACTGCACTTGCTCAGGTGAAGTGATACAGTTTTTCAAGTATATCCTAACTACCCACTACAGTCTGTAGGGAACTAAACACTGAAGACCAACGCGTTGGTGCTGGCAACACGAGATTTCGTGCTTTTGCGCCTATATTAGGCAAGCACTTGAACTCGTCAAGTCACTCAAGATGATTTTTCACGAATCGTGCCACGGTTACAGCTCTCCGACGGATCTTCCGAAAAGCAGGAACCTTGAAGATATCCTGCATCAGCAGATTAAGAACGTATGCTGAGCAACCACCATCGCCAATATTTGGTCTGCAAATATACACCCGACTTGTAGCGCTCCTTATCTTTTTGGCATTGTCCGTAATGACGGATACAACCTGTGCTGATGTTGAGGCATTGACATCTTCGAGTACTTTCTCTAAGTCACCTGCAAGGCAGTCTGCAGTAAGCTGTTTAGACCTTGTCGACCATGAGGACCAGAAAACCGAGGGCATTCCTGGCGCAACTACCGAGAAGTTAATATTGCTGGATCCGTTGGTATCACTCCAGCCATCCGTGACAAGAGGGACCTATATTGGCTAACCAACCAACCTGATTACATCCAGCCGCATCTCTGCTAGGACTCATTTCAAACGTTCACCACCCAGCTTGTTGCTCGACGGCGCCTGAAATGTAGTGCGCCACCAATACAACCAATTCTCGGAAGACTGGAGCGTCTACGAGCATAAATAACAGGACGAAAACAGAAAAACACTCTTGCTAGCGCCATTTTAAAAGCATCCTGACTCAGTTAGACCGGCGATGCCGCAGTAGGACTTGACGTTTTTGGAGTTGGTGGGGGAGCGTGAGTCGGACGCAATCAATTCTGGACGTATTTTGAAGCACTAGGACACGGATTAGAGCCTATATAGTGTTTCAACAAGTTGCCGCTAGGCTTGCCATTCTTTTTCAGAGAACCACAATACCTGCATCGTCCATGTTTATTCCCGTTCTCGCCACGCAGTTATGCAACTACAGCATTCTCTAAAGTTGCACATCTTCAAGAAGCAAATACAACCGCAACGTTGCGCAACTGCAGACATTACCAACATAGAAACCCAGGTTAGTGCAGTTGCGGGTCCGAGTGTCGCCCCAGCGGCTGAAGATCCGTTTTTGAGTATTTGTTTGCAGCACAATGTCAATTGTTTGGTCCAATTCGCCTTTTAGAGAACAGCGCATTTGTTGATTTCGTCGGCAAAAAAAATTCCGTCAGAACGGCTTTGAGACGGTCCTCCGCACTTGAACTTGCCAGTCTTACGTTCATGAGGCTCCGGACTTGCTGAGTCGAGACTGGAAGACCTAACGAAACTTTTAGCTGCGAGGTAGTTTCGTTTGGTAACAGGCATCGTACCAAGAGAATCAGCGACGTAACTTGCAATCTGCTTCGTTTCAGTGTTGGTCTGGCCAAAGGAATTGGAAATGGACAATACCAACTCACTGACCAAGTCATTGCACTGCTTCAGAGCGGTGTAGATTGTTTCGTTTGTGATATGGTTGTGACAGCGCTCCTGTAGTAACATTGCCATTACAATGACATAGTGATATTAGTAAATTCAATACAGCAAACTTTTGTAACAAATGCAGAACTTAAACTCAACTAGCAAACCTCGTTTGTTACTATAATTGTCCAATTAGACTCTCCGTCATCGTCGACCTCTCCGGTTCGCACGGCCGCTACCCAAAACATTGCCTTGCAGTTTCAATATCTCTCCATACGCTTGGCCCTTTTGCCCGTCGATCGGGATTTATACTGGCAACCGAACGTGCATGCATACTTCCGAAATGCATTTCCAAACTAAACAGGTATTTGTAGATCGGGCCGATCGTTCGCTTGCTGTTGTACAGTTTTGTCATTTGGCAGTCCATCCTGCGGTATACCAACAGGCTCTGTCGCTCATACTGCTCCCAGTACT